AGTACGAGTACGAGTACAGGAGGCCAGTATCGGGCCCGATAGTATCGGTATTATCGGTATCGGTGCATCCCTAGTAAAAACTAAAGTATACTACAGTATTTATTACAGTTCCATACTTCAGATACTTCAGTATGCTGTAGTGTTCATTAACAAAGTGTTGTAAATACTATAACATATACAGTATAATACACTTTACTATAGTATGGTTCAAAAACACTATAAAGTAGTATTTACTATAAATTACTATAGTATTTTTTCATGTAGGCACCATAAATGTCCACTCAGCCTGTCGTTGTTGTAAAATAAACCCCTTTAGGGTAATTATAGACCCCCGTACCACATTACTGACATCGTTGAAAGGACTGGATTTTGCCTGTGAAAATTTGCCAAACAACGGTAAATGTGACCATACCTCAGAGTTTAGGTTTAGGATGAACCAAATGATAGCATCATAATATTGAGCAATTACTTAAAGGGTTATTTCACCCAAAAATGAAAATTAGCCCATAAATTACTCACCCTCAAGTCATCCTAGGTGTATATGACTTTCTTCTTTCAGATGAATCCAGTCGGAGTTATATAAAAAAATTGTCTTTGATCTTTCAAGCTGTTTAATGCCAGTCAGTGGGTGTTGCATTGCTTCAGTCCAAAAGAAGTGAAATAAAAAGCGCCCATCCATAAATATGGTTTTAAATATGTTTTTATATATGGTTAAATATGTTTTAAATATGGTTATTTTTCATACAAAAACGCATTGATTCGCTACAGGAGGCCTGATTAGGGTTACTTGCATGTAATTATGCATCATTAATTGTTATTATAATTGTAAGTACATGTAACATGTGGAACAAGGACACCTTAAAATAAGGTTTTACACGAAAACAGATGCATGATGATTCTTGAAAATGTCTCAACGGACTCAGAACACTAAATACTCATTTAGTGTTTAGTGTGACGTGTCTCGCACTCACTTTAACACCTCAATGTATCCTTTACATTAAACAGCTTGAAAGATCAAAGACAATTTTTAATATAACTCCGACTAGATTCGTCTGAAAGAAGAAAGTCATATACACCTAGGATGACTTGAGGGTGAGTAATTTATGGGCTAATTTTCATTTTTGGGTGAACTAACCCTTTAAGGTGCCCTTGTAACAGTGTAATTATACATTTAAGTACTGAGTAATATTAATTAACTACATGTACTAACTATATGGTTAGGTTTAGGATTAGGGTTACTTGCATGTAATTATGCATCATTAATTGTTATTATAATTGTAAGTACATGTAACATGTGGAACAAGGACACCTTAAAATAAAGTTTTACACGAAAACAGATGCATGATGATTATTGAAAATGTCTCAACGGACTCAAAACACTAAATACTCATTTAGTGTTTAGTGTGACGTGTCTTGCACTCACTTTAACACCTCAATGTATCCTTTAGCAGCAGCGACATGCAGCGCCGTGGCCTGAGTGTTCGGATGAGGGACCAGAGAGCCACTTCCTGCCAACACGGCCATGGCATCCTGGAGCATCACTCTCTCCTCCTCTCTCCTGGCCTGGTCCACATCTATACCTGAAAGTTCATTAAAAAACAGCAATTATAATGCTTTCCTAGGCGGCACAGGCCTTCTTTTTTAGATTTAGTATATAACATATTATATTACAGGTAATTTAAGGGACCGTGAGTCTTTGTTGTTCCAGATCAGTTTGTTCGGGTTATAGTTCACTCAAAAATGAACATTTGCTGAAAAAGTACTCCCACTCAGGCCATCCAAGATATAGATGAGTTTGTTTCTTCATCAGATTTGGATAAATGTAGCATTACATCACTTGCTCAGCAATGGATCCTCTGCAGTGAATGGGTGCCGTCAGAATGAGAGTCCAAACAGCTGATAAAAACATCACAATAATCCACAAGTAATCCACACCACTCCAGTCCATCAGTTAATGTCTTGTGAAGTGAAAAGCTGTGTTTTCTTATAAATAAATCAATCATCTGTGCATATTTCTCTCCTGATTCAGACGAGATGGCTTTTTCACTGGAGGAAGCAATATTATGAATAGAGGACTTGCATTTTAGCAACAGTTTGAAGTTAAAACACCTTAAAATTATGGATTTGTTTCTTATAAACATAAATCTTTCCACTTCACTAGATGTTAATTGATGAACTGGAGTGGGGTGGATTACTTGTGGAATATTGTGATGTTTTTATCAGCTGTTTGGACTCTTATTCTGACGGCACCCATTCACTGTAGAGCATCCATTGCTGAGAAAGTGATGTAATGCTGCATTTCTCTGATGAAGAAACAAACTCATCAACATCTCGGATGGCCTGAGGATGAGTAATAATTAGCAAATTTTCACTTTTGGGTGAACTATCATTTTCAGGACATAAAAGACACACCCACATTCACAAAGCCGATCACATCTAACAAGCAGCAGGAGGAAGTTTATAAAATCCCTGTGCAGCTCCAGTGTTTCTAATTAAGTTCTTGATGTGGGAAATCCACAAGCTGTTACTGTTAAAACCAAACATCCTACAAACACACA